GATGGAAGACTGGATTCAGGGGCATCCATGCAGAGCCTTCACTGAGCTAATAAGATGCTCACTTTGGGAAATTTAGGTGGGGATGTTCCTAGAATCACTGGACTCTGGTGAGCTTATCTTCAAGGTCAAGTAAAGGAAGGGCCCACGTCGGCCCCACTGGAAGCCAGAGTTGATGCTACTGAACTGTGGGGCAGCGTTAGCCATGGGCCCTACAGAGGGAGTGTGTGTGGAGGCAAGAGAGGAGCCAGTCCAGAGTCCATGGAACCCCAGGGAAAGACACAGACAGCAGCTGCCTAATGGCCTTGTAGGTCTTGGTAGGCCTGGCTCCCTGCTCAGAGGGTGAAACTCTGTGGTCAAATGCAGCAGAACCAGGGCAGGCACACAAAACTTACTCATCCAAGGGGACCCTCCTGCCCAGTGGGTAACTGCAAGCATACAGAACCTCCACCGCTGTGGTCTACATCCAAGCGGGGCCAATGTGAGTCAGTCTCTGAAGCGGCTCCAACAGAACTGGCTAAGTTATCCTCATACAGTTTTATACCCATTTAAGTATTTATTGGCTTGGATACAGTATGCACGCTAATTCAGACTATACATTCACTCTTTGAAAACTATCATCAATGCCTGCATGAGAGAGCAGTGGTCAGATACCATGTAGGAAGTGAGGAGGACAATCTCTGCAATCGGCTGTTTTCAACACCTTACAGAGTCCTTCTCCTTCAGTGAGTTTGGCCTGCCCTGACCTCTGCAATAGTTGCTGTTAATGGGAATTAGATTTGTAATTCCTCAAACACTGCCCCTTCCTCCTGCTTCCGTCTTCCCATCATTTTTAAAGTGCCTTATTCTGACTCTTCACACATCTAGCAATCTGACCCTTTTAACTTTTTTCATTTTGGAACTGGTTTTTATTGTCTTTTAGAATTCTACACCCAGTCTTAAATTTTAAATAAACAAATCCACATCCAATCAACCTTCTGAAACATTTTTTGCTGTGATAGAGGAGGAAGTATGACGACATTCATTGTTTCTGGATTAAAGTATTTTTGTTTGTATTAAATTTTATTTATTTTAGAGACAGGGTCTTGCTCTATCACCCAGGCTGCAGTACACTGGCATAATCACGGCTCACTGCAGGCTTGAACTCCTGGGCACAAGTGATCCTCTCATCTCAGCCTCCCAAAGTGCTGGAATTACAGATGTGCACCACTGCACCAGCTTATTTCTGGATTAAGTTTTGGCAGATAAGAGTGTTGGTCTGTAAGGTATCAGCCAAATAGTCTTTGCCTGTACTGGGCATGAAGTAAAATCAAATCAATACATGTGACTTTAATTCAACAACTATTTATTGAATAGCTATTATTACATGCAGTGCACTGGGCACTGTAGCAAAAATTGAAGATTCTTAACATTATACCTTCAACTTCCTGTCTCATAAGTTTTCTTGTTCCCTCACTCCCACTTTTCCTGCCCTCTGATGGTTCTCATGATAGTTTATTCCATTCACTGGTTCCTCAGCTCTGCCCTCTTCTCCCATTCTATCCATTCCTGGTGGTCTTCACTTCCTCCCTTGCCAGCCTAGGATGTCAAACATTTTTTTTTTTTAGCCCCCTCAGGTCCCTTCCTGTATGATCCTTCTACCTCACTCACTGTGGACAATATACACCAAGGACTGATTCCATTGTCCTTCTGTTTTTCCACACAGAGGCTGCTGAGTGTCGCTGGGGATGGGACTGGTGCCATGGCAAATTCCCAGTGTCCACTCTCGGCTCTACTCCCAAAGCTGATTAGGAATAGTATCATGGGTCTCCTGGTTCTGTTCCAGCTGTCCTAAGCCCTCGAGTCTACTCATTATTTCTCATCTAGACTTGGTTGGAAAAACAAAGTAGTAACCAGTAAATGTCAAGTGAATAAAAATGGAATGGTCTGTGCCTCTAGGAATCATAACTAGATACCAGGCACGTGTTGTCCACTTTAAATGCATGATCTCATTTCATTGTCAAACAACCCAACATGGTAGGGACTAATCTCTGGATAAGAAAGCGGACTTTTAAAGAGGAAATAACTTGTCTGAGATAATATATTTAGTAATTTTAAAATTTTTTTAGAGATAAGATCTCGCTCTGATGCCCAGGATTATAGCTCACTGTAACCTGGAACTCGTGGGCTTAGGGAATCCTCCTGCACAGCTGGGATTACAGGAATGTGCCGCCATGCCTGGACAATGTTTTTCTTTTCTTTTTCTTTTTTTTGTAGAGATGGGGGTCTCACTATGTTGCCCAGGCTGGTCTCCAGCTCCTGGCATCAAGCAGTACTCCTACCTCAGTCTCCCAAGGTGCTGGGATTAGTTCCTTGAGCCACCATACCCATCCAGTTACTACATTTTGAACACAGCATGTTCTTAATCACTAGGCCATAATGACTGTTCTTATCACTTCTAAAACACACACACACACACACACACACACACAGTCTATTTCATATTGCTAACAGTATCATTTGTAATGTAACGTTTGTTACCTGATTATGCCATTCTTTCACTTTAAATTCTTCTCAGACCCTCTATACTTTTTCAATATAACTAAGACTTTGAATGTGACTCAAGGTGGGAGGTTTCCTGACCTGGCCTCCATCTGCCAGACAGCCCTGTCTCCCCATCCCATACTCCACACAGTTCAGCTCCAGTGACACTGGGCTCCTTGTATTCTTCCCCACATGCCACATTCCCCATTGATTCTGTGTTTCATGCTCTCTAAAATACTCACTTCCAATCTCCGTACAAATTCTTATTCCTTCTTGAAGAGTAGGTACAAGTAGAGCCTCCTTCTTACAATATTCCCTGACTAAAGGAATCATGGAAATGATAGGCCTCATCTAATTTACAATCTAGTTGAGAAAATAAATCACATAAACGTGAACAATCAGCAAACAATACAAGTCAGAATCTAATCAAGTGCTAGATTGTATGGTACATGTCGCATATGTAATGCACCAAGTAAAAGGCTTTGGAAAAAAAGAAGTCTAGAAGATGCAAGAGTTAAGGAGTGAGAAAACATCTCAATTTAGGAGGTGTAGCTGGCTCAGAGCAGCATACTCTTCAAAGACGAGGTTTTTAGGACAGCGTGCAATTCCTGTTCCATATTTTGTTCAAATCTAACCACTTCTTTTCTCCTCTGGCTTTAAATATATATGTATATAAATATATATAAAATATATATATTTAATTTTTTTATAGGTTTAGGGATACAAGTGCAATTTTGTTAGATTGTGTAGAAGTAAAGGCTGCGCTTTTAGTGTAGCCATCCCCTGAAAAGTGTACATTGTACCCATTAAGTAATTTCTCATCCCTCACCACCCTCCCATGCTTCTGATTCTCCAATGTCTGTTATTCCATTCTTTATGTCCATGTGTACACATTATTTATCTCCTAAGGGAGAACATGTAGTGTTTAACTTTCTTTTTCTGAGTTATTTCACTTAAGATAATGGTCTCCAGCTCCATCTATGTTGCTGCAAAAGACATGGCTTCATTCATTTTTATGGCTAAGCAGTATTCCATGGTATATATATACCACATTTAAAATGCAATCATTGCCGGGCATGGTGTCTCATGCCTGTAATTCTAGCACTTTGGGAGGCCGAGGCAGGTCGATCACCTGAGGTCAGGAGTTTGAGACCAGCCTGGCCAACATGGTGAAATCCCGTCTCGACTAAAACAATACAAAAATTAGCTAGGCCTGGTGACGGGTGCTTGTAATTCCAGCTACTCAGGAGGCTGAGGTAGGAGAATTGCTTGAACCTGGGAGGTGGAGGTTGCAGTGAGCCGAGACTGCACCACTGCACTCCAGTCTGGGCGACAAGAGCGAAACTTAATCTCAAAAGATAGTAATAATAATAATACTAACTCAATCATCTATTGGTGAACACAGGTTGACTCCATGACTTTGCAATTCTGAATAGTGCTGCAATAAACATGAGTGCAGGTATCTTTTTCTTTAGGTAGACACCCAGTGGTGGGATTGCTGGATCAAATGGTAGTTCTACTTTTAGTTCTTTAAGAACTCTCCATACGTTTTTCATAGAGGTTGTACTAATTTACATTCCCACCAAAAGTGTATGGACATTTTCTCATTTCTCCATATCCTTGCCAACATCTGTTATTTTTTGATTTTTTTAATGATAGCCATTTCGACTGGTGTAAGATGGTATCTCACTGTGGTTTTAATTTGCATTTTTAATTTGCATTTTTCTGATGATTAGTGATATTGAACATTCTTTCATATGCTTATCAGTCACTTGTATGTCTTCTTTTGAAAAATGTCTGTTCATGTCCTTTGCTCACTCTTTAATGGCGTTATTTGGTTTCTGAAATTGTTGAGTTGCTTGAGTTCCCTGTATATTCTGGATATTAGTCCTTTGTCAGTTGCATAATTTGCAAATATTTCCTCCCATTCTGTAAGTTGTCTGTTTGAGTATTTCTTTTGCTGTACAGAAGCTTTTTAGTTTAATTGAAATCCCATGTTTTTTTTTTTTTTTTTGGTTGCATTTACATCTTTGAGGTCTTAGTCATGAATTCTTTGTCTAGGCCAACATCCAGAAGAGTTTTTCTTAGATTTTCTTCTAGAACTTTTACACTCTCAGGTCTTACATGTAAGCCGTTAAGCCATCTTGAGTTAATTTTTGTGTACACTGAGAAATAGGAGTCTAGTTTTCATTTCTGCACATGGCTATCCAATTTTCTTAGCACCATTTATGGAATAGGGTATCCTTTCCCCAGTGTATGTTTTTGTTTACTTTGCCAAAGATCAGTCATTTCTGGGTTTTGTTTTTTGTTCCATTGATCTATGTATCTATTTTTATGCTAGTATCTTGCTGTTTTGGTTACTATAGCCTTGTTAGTATAATTTGAAGTCAGGTAATGTGATGCCTTTAGCTTTGTTCTTTTTGCTTAGTATTGCTTTTGCAGTTTATGCTCTTTTTTGGTTCTATATGAATTTTAGGATTAAAAATACAGAATGCTTCATGAATTTGCATGTCATCCTTGTGCAGGGGCCATGCTCATCTTCTCTGTCTCATTCCCATTTTAGTATATGTGTTGCTGAAGCGAGTACTCCTTTTACTTTTCAATGCCTTCCATTTCTACCTCTGATATGATCTTTGATGATACTATTCAGAGGTTGGCCAGATTGTCTGAGAGCTACAGACTTGACCTCCTCGTTTGGCCCTTTCAACTGCTCTTAGATGTTAAGCCACTAGCCTATGTAAGGGAACTATATGAAATAGGCATTTATACTCGCTATGGTTTTTACTGTTGAGACGTTGCCTGTCTCAGCAAAGATTGACTTCTGAATTTACCATGTGGTAAATTCCTCTCAGGTGTCAGTATTAACAAAACTGTGTGCTTACCAACTGTCTTTAATCGTGCAGGTGCTATTACTCTTGTAAGATGAGCATGTTTCCACTTCGAGCAATGTGTGCTCCACCAGCTTGAATACCAGGAAAGTTATCAGGAAAAGCTATGGCAAAATCATGATGGTTTTAGTACTTTTCCATTTTTATTCTACTATCATTGTATTTCCCTTGGATGTTTATTCCATACACACACACACACACACACCCCCCACACACACACAGTCTCATAAACCACTTTAATCCCTTGTGGAAACAAATTGTAGTAGAGGTAGCAAATCTATATCCAGATACCTCTGTATTATGTAAAATATGTCAATATGCTTTCTCCCTCACTTGATATCATCTGTTGACTGTTCTCAAACTAGAGTGTGCATCAGAATCAGGTGGATGTCCCCAAGGCACAGATGCATTCGATAAATGTTAGCCAAATAAATACATGAATGGGAATTTTCCTGCTCGGGAAACAAGATATGTCCACGGGAAAAGTTTGATAATTTATAAGTAAGATGACTATTTTTGTACTGGGAATAATGCATCGTTAGTGCCGGCACCGTGCAGAGCGGAACCGCTGTGCTGATCAGGAAGGACTGGAGCAGCGGCTAATGAAGACTGCTAAAGCCTGCTTTGCTGTTTCATCCACAGCACACAAGCCGCATCTGTCCTGGGACTCATTTGTCCGTCTTCCGCCTCCTCTGCAGTTAGTCTCCTAAACTACACTGGCAATGATTGAAGAAACTGTGGTTGAAAAGTCCACACCAAATTCTCTGTATGTCACTGAAGACAAGGACATTTTGCGTAGAACCTGGCTGCTAATCCACTCTTGTCATGAGGGAAGATTTTTTCTCTTTCTGTAGTGAGCAAGAAGGTCACTCGGTAAGATACAGAATTATCTAACTAGTATTTGTGAATCTAGAAAAATACAAGCTTTGCTTTATTAATGGGCTTAGTACATGTATGTGCTGAAAACTTGATATATGCTCCTTCTCATGCTTGCAAGTGTGACATGGTTTCTTCCCTTTCCACAGATGAAGAAAGTGAGGTTCATGGAAGTTAAATAACTTGCCCACAGGGCACAACTAGTAGGCAGCTAAGCTAGGACTTCAACTGAGGTCTGTAAGACTTAAAGCACCTGCTCTTCCTGCTCCTCAATAGCTTTCCTGCTAAGCACCAAGAGACTCTAGGCTGCCAGGAACATCACAGCAGGGACCACTGTCAATCAGTGGATCTCCACAGTCTTTCAGACTTTCTTTTGAAGAAAGATTTAGCTGCTAAAAGAAAAGATGAATATACAAAAAGGATAATACTACTGTATTTCATCATATTGCCTCGTTTTAATACAAGAAGACTCATCCAGCTTAAACATTTGATGTCTAAGAAGCTAACCAGCAAGCTGCCCTCTGGGAATCCATTCCATCAGGTATGGATCAGTCGTCCTGAGATCATGTTCATAAATCAACAGCTTTGTACAAGCTGTCAAGACTCAGAACACGATACCCCAAAGTATGGCACCTTGGTGTGCCGAGTACTATGGACTGAAGGACATCAGAAAGGTCTCAGAAGCAATGTCTCTTTGACCTTCTCCCAACCCCCTGTCTCTCACCTGTTTTTCTCCCATGAAGTGAGTCATGGCAACCAGAATTCCTCTTTCCCAAGGTGTGTCACAGAAACTAGAACCCTCTTCTCCAAGGGAAGCCGTGAAACCCAGAAAGGTCACTCTGCCTTCCCCCTTCTCCCTTGAAGACCTTCATTCCAGAGGCGCCCTGCCCCATATTCAGGAGGGTTACACAAAGAGGTTAAGAAGAATTTGAACAGTCAGGACTTGCTAGGTTCCCCGCTCAGTCTATCAGCACTAGATCACACCCTTTAGTCCATCACATTTCTACACTGCTGTCCATTCTTCATCAAACCGAAGAATAAAAAAAGCTTTCCCTGGGTCTTAGGGTCTTCATTTATGAGGAGTCCCATGTCACATAAAACTTTGGTTACCTTCATTATGCTTTTCTCTTGTTAACCTGTCTTTTGTTATAGGAGAGACCATTATGATAGGTGAGGAAAGATATCACACATTTCTGCCCCTACAAAGCCAAAAATGTTGGCTTAAGAATGCTGCTAAGCTCAAGGCCACAGCTACTCACAACCTTTTCTCTCCACTACCAAGACCTGTAGATACGATGTGATTAATTTTAACCTTGATATAGAAGTGAGCCAATGCAGACAATAACTTCTCAGATATCCACAAACGCTAGTTACTAGCATCCATGTATTCTTTTTTCCCCCAACAAATATTTATTCAGCATCTACTAAATGACAGGTGCAGTTCTAGGGAACAGGGGTCCAGTAGTGAACACAATTCCAAAAGTCCATGGCTTCATGACAATTACATTCTTGTGTTGGGAGACAGACAATAAACAAATACATTGTGTATAAAATGTTGATGATGGTATCATGTCTTAGGTGATGACATATTAACTGCCTTCTGTAAGTAATCTTTTATAAACTCTTTGCTGACTTGGAGGCATTGAAAGTTTTACAAAAATATTGGCTTATTTATTAAAGAGGAAGTATGGTACAATTTGCACTCATCACAGGTTGAGTATCCCTTATCCAAAATGCCTGGGACCCAGAAGTGTTTTGAATTTCTGATTTTTTCAGGTTTTGGAACATTTGCAATTTACTTTATTTACAGGTTGAGCATCCCAAATCTGAAACTCCAAAATGCAAAATGCTCCAATGAGAATTTCCTTTGAGTTTCATGTTGGTGCTCAAAAAGCTTTGGATTCTACAGCATTTTTGATTTTGGATTTTTGTATTTGAGATGCTTGACCAACAATATGTTCCAGAAAATATTAGAAAAATGGATGTGTCTCTGTGGTAAACCCTGTCCTAGGCATCTTACATGTATTATCCCACTTAATTATCACAGCAACCCTAGGAAGCAGGTACTCTTACTATCTTCATTTCCCAGAGGAGGAAAATGAGGTACAGGAAAGTTAAATAATTTACTTGTAGTCAATCCAGGAAGTCAGACTCCAGAACTCACAGTAGGCACTGCTACACTGTCAATGACAAAGTTGCCTTTGTCACTCAACACAATGATGGGATGTTACCAAGGTTGCAGCATATGGCTGCATAAATTGCACACAGCACAGCTGGGGATGGGGGTGGTGAGCTGACCTTGTTTGGTGCAGCAGATCTGTTGCTTTGCTGTCACTGATGTGCAGTTAGGCAATGTCCTTTAACTTGAATATACCTTGACATAAGCATAATAAGACACTGGAGAAAAATTATGCTTTTCAACATGAACTAGAAATAAAATTATTCATCTGTTATCATTATTTTCTAATAGGACAATAATTGAAACCATGGAAGCCATGTATATTCCAGAGACATGTACATAGGCTGACTATATACATCATCTACACTTTAGATAGGCCATTTAAAGAAACGGATGCTTGCAATTTGGAGGAAATATGAACTTCTCCATACAAAATGCTCACACCTCTCAGCTTAACCTGGAGCTTCCAATTTCCGTGTGGCCACTCCTCACCATCTGCTTATGTTTGCACAGGGTGGGAGGCAATTCACTTCATTCAGGGAGGCATCCTACACTACACTTATGAGCAAAGACCTGCAAGCCAGGTGAAGGAAATAAGGAAGCGGAAATGAACCCACAGTAAACATTTCACTGGGTGGCGTCCCATGGGCAGTCTGCATAGACGGGTGTTTGTCTAGCAACCCCCACCCGTGGCAGCTTTTCCTCTGACTGCTGGAGGGGTTTGCTTCCTTTACCCAAATCTGTGTCGGGAAAAAACTCCACTGAAGTATGGTTTTAAGTTTCTTCTCCCAGACAAATAAACAAGCAGCCCATATTCCAGCATTCCAGCAGACCAGATCTGAGTGCGAGCAACTGGCGCTGGCAAAAGTGGCCGTGGCCAGAATGAGTGGTACCTGTGTCAGTTGGAGAAGTGGCTTTGGGCAAAATCGTTAATTTCATATTTGAGGAAATCTTTTGGATGCTTAGGGAATGATAGTCAAAATTCAGGCTGCTATTGCTTTCTTATTCTCCTTATACTCTGTATCCAGGTTTGGTCCAATTTCAGAAAACATCCTTCCCATTGCCTTGAATTTCTGTTTAGTTTCCTTCTACCATAGCATCTTTAACCAGAAAGAAGGCATCTTCTCTTACTATCCCACTTTCTGCTAGTGTGAGCTTAGAAATGTATTGATCTCTCTCTCCCTCTCCCTCTGTTTTTCTCCTCTGGGGAAGCTTCTTAGGAAAAATCAGCTCTATAAATCACAAGTTTTCCTGCTAAGACCTTTGGCATATAGCTGGCTGCTACTTCACCTTTTTAAAAACATGATCAACATCCTGTGTCCTGTTAGAATTAGGTAACTTAACCTTTCTATCAAGGTTGATTTTTGTTTAGACCCTGGGAATTGCTCTGCATCATGGCATATAGGCAAAAACAAAAAACAAAACAAACAAAAAACCCTGAAGAAATAAATTGTGGAGAAAAATGTTTGTAAGTACAAATATGAACTCTGCAAAAAGGATTGGAATCCAGTGGCAGGTAGACACGCTGTACGACTGGACCCATAAGTAATGGAGGACCATACCGAAGAAATGTACTCTGTACCCCAAAGCTTATAAAATAATTGAACACGGGATGTGGAAAGGGAATCTGACATTGGCAACACA